AAAAGGATTAAAAGCACAAGTTTAACTCAAAAACATAACCAAATCATAAGCTAGAAGGGTACAAAATGATATACAATTATGAACCAATCAGATCACAGTCCATCACTTTCCATCCGCCGCCGATCTGCAGCTTCTCCTTCTTTGGTAGTCACGCTTGCTGAACCCCCATCTTGATCTTCCTCTTCCTCGGGCTCGCAGCATCTAAGGTTCATCTGTTCTCTTTTGCAGTGCTCTCTGTGTTCCTTTGGATTTCCTAAACAAAAAGGGGGAGAGTATTTTGTGTTACATATGAGATTTAGGGGGAGTAACTATTGAGAGTAGAAACTTGAAATTTAGGGGGAGATATCCTTTTTTTTGTCTATGGGATCAGAACTTGTAGTACTCTGCTTAATCTCCTGACATATGAAATATTGCTATTTAACTGTATCAAGTTATGGTTATTATTATTTCAATTCTATTATGCCTCACTGGTAGTCTGTTTGTTGGTGTGCAGACGTTACAAGAACTAAATAGTTGTTTGACAAAGTAAACTAGGTTGTGTAGGTTTTCTTGTAAACGTGGTTGATATGTAATCTAGTGTTTTGTCCAGGAAATGCCAAAGGGGGAGATTGTTAGTACGAAAATTTGTATTGGCATTTCCTAGACTTTAGCATAGGTTGAAAATTAGTTTGAGAGGAATTGTCACTGGACGTTTTGGCACAACTCGCTCAACCACATACTTCCGAGGCATGACTTAACCATATGAGGAACTTGACAAACAAGTAAATCATGACATAATCATGCATTCAAAATAGGGTTTATAATTACAACTATTTTTGATGCCATTGTGATTTAAGTTACCTTGCTTATCTCCTAGTTACCTTGATTTAGGAGAAAATTATTTCTTAATAATAGTGGTTGTTTGGTGTTGTCATGATGAGTCCTTGTTGAATCAAGTTTCATATTCATAATGGGGTAGTTGGCTTGTCCTGCTGGATGTCTCATGAAGAGACCCTTGTGTATCAGGTTTAGGTGTCTAGTTTGAATAAGTTTTAGAGTTGTAGTTGCATAGCACTTGTGAATGTCTACCGCGCAAATCTCACGGCCTGGAGTTCCGGGCCGAGGGGATGTGCGTTGACACGCGGTTTCCTGCTTTTGGGTGCGGTGCGGTTGTGCGCGGGCGTGCCAGCACGGTCTACCGTGCGTCGAGATGTTGATGAGTGTAGGATGGATAAGTGGTGCGCCTGTTTGAACTCGTCTTCTAATCAAACGATTGTAGCCGAGAGAGGAACTAGTCTCGGCTGTTAGGTTCACGGCCTGAACTACAAGGCCGTTAAGTGATGGTGTTGGTGGTGGGTTTTGGGCGGTGCTCCGGCGCGCTGCTGTTAAGCTCATAATTTCATACATATACATGCCCTATTTACTTACTTCTTTTGCTTAGTTTCCTAGACTTCTAAGTTATTTGCCTTCCTTTGTGTGTTTTGTAGGCAAATAGAGCAAGAGAGCATAATTCATGCAATTCAAGCATGTTAAGGCCTAATT